CCCCCATATACGGCCTTGACGACCACTGCCCTATATTGTACGGTAAAAACTTGAATGATACTTTCTCAATTCTATAATCGAGACGGGTTAAATGTCTACTTTCATATTTTGTCTTAAATAATTTTCTTTTTCACATAGGTACCATATTTCGTTTTTAAATACACGCGAATACTTCATTGTTTAATATAAGTCTATTTTTATATATATTTTTTAAAACATCTATTAATCGGAATATATTTGGGAGTGCTGAATGAAACATAATATACTATTAAACTTGAAGTGAAAGGCTTCACAACTATTCGTAGTTTGAATTACAGAACGTGAATACACCGCCCACACAGAAATGGAGAAGTCATAATCAGGCTTTATGTATGTATTTAACATATAATCGAAAAATTGCTGTTCTATTAWTATTATTTCACCTTTGGTTAAAATTAATACAATATCGTTAGTAAAATAATTCTCCTCTTCATCTGGTTTTAAAAATGGGAGACCGACCAAAAAAATATTTCAAGAAACCAAACAAAAATTATTAAATGCTTTATGGTACGTTTATGTAATCGTTTAAACACAACCGGACGTACAATTCATATAGTACCTAGTTTAGATAAGGCTGGATGCAAATCATGTAGTCATTTAGATTAAGACGGACACAATTCTAGTCTAGCTCATTTAACTAGTTTATATTATGTGTGCTCATTAATTCATTGCAATTTTGTTAGATATATGTTTCACGGGCCCCTCACACGAACCTGTTTATTATTATAGGCCTCATTATCTGTTTGAGAGAATAAACATAAAATAAATTTAAATACTCAGTATATCAGATGTATAATAATAATTGTAAAACAACTTATTTAAAGTAATGAAGTATGAAATGTGTGCAGTTTCATCATTTAAAAATTTTATATTTTGAAGTAACCATTAATGAAGTATTTAGCTGCGTCGATTTAAAAAAAAAATATCAGCTTTTTAGATGGATTTTTTTTCAAATGAAAAAATTTTATATTATTTATGTATAAAACAGTGTCATAAAAAAACTTGACGAATCAAAAATTACAAACTCATATAACTATAAGTTTGAAAAATATATGAATAAAAAATTATTTATGGTTTACTTAAGTTTGAAAATTCATAATAAGAATATTTTTAAAAACATGTAACGTAATGAATTTACTCTAAAAACTTAGAAAAAATAAGCTATCTACTTGAATTTGATAAATTTTTACTACAAACATTTTTTTTTTTTTTAAATAGAGATAAAAAAATTTTGCGTTTGAATTTGTTCACAAAAAATTTAATTCAATTAGCATTTATAGTATTCTCAATTTAAAAGAATAAAATATTTATACTGTCCTTGAAAATTTTAAATGTTGATTAGAGCAAAAGTTATTTCACTTAACAGGTCATTAATGTCATGCATCTTTCGTATAATTAACAACGAATTGACTTATAATGCATGTTTGATTGAACTTGAAGACTTATCATTATTTGTACAATGTATTGTATAACATTTTTTATTACGATTTCACTTGAGTAAGTATCCTCTGTTGTTAACACATGCAACATTTATAAATTTAAAAATAAATATTCTCATTATTTTTGTGTTACTCATAAAGATGAATTAATATCTCACGAAACTTTCATAAAATATTTTGAAACGATAGATTTTATGAAATTATAAAGCTTTAATAGGTATTCAATGCCGACGGTGAACTATATATAGATAAAACAATAATACCTGATAAAATAAAAAAATGATACTAGTTGAGCATATGACAACAAAATTATATGGATGATAAATAATTTCAGAAATATAAGTTATAGTTTAGGTAGGTTTTCAGAAAACTCACAAAAATTATTTTATTTTTTTAAATTAGAACATTTCTAATTAAGCTATTAACTTGATTGGGAATAGTAAAATAAAATATAAATTGATTAGAAGTAAAGAGACTGGAACCATTATGGTTTTATTAGTTTTGGTTTAAGTTTCGGTTCTCAAAAACCTAACTTTTCGGTTTAGGTTTTCAAAAATATCAAGTTTCAATTAATACCAGTTTTAATTATTTGTTTTCTGTTTTTTATTTGATTTTTATTAATTAAGTACTGTGCAAAAAAAAAGATAACATTCTGTTATTTATGATAATCGTATTTAATTGTATCTACTATGGTAGACTACTACTGGCTACTACTATTTTAAACGTATAATTGAAATGTTCGTGTATAAACACATGGAATTATAAATACGAGTAATATTATAGGATCTTCTCTCTTCGTGTGGTGTTGGTGGATGATGTGGGTGTGCCCTATCTTAATTTATTTTAAATACACCTGTAATAGCTAATAGGGATCTCTAGTATCTATCTATTACAGAATTTGTGTAATGTGATATATGATATAATATTAATCCAGAAACTATAAAAAATAATAAGATATATTATTCTATAATATTCATGTGACTATTTATGGAAGTTTCACTAAGCCATCAAATTCTAAACATTATAAGAATTCAAAAAAAAAAATTACTATCAAACAAAGCTTTAATCCTTAGAAATAGACGAAGCAGTGTAATAATGTGTGTATGCAATTCTATTTTTGTAAACATCAATAATGCATTACTGATGGATAAAAATTGTTCATTTATTCATACATGTATTATATGGCTAGCAAAAGCTAAATAATAATATGTTCAAAATATAATTAAGTATTAGACACCTAACTATTTTATTATATTAATATAATATTTAAAATTTAAACTAATAGACAAACATTTAAAACATAAATCTCGTTATAAATTAATTATTTTATTATAATCAACCAGAGGGATAGGTAAAAAAATGCATAAAATATATAGTTATTATATTATAATTAACGTTTGAACATTTCRTGGAATATTTCAATACCTATAATAATATTTTTATTTATTTATTTAGTTTTATTTTTACGTAATATAATTATCATAACTTACCTTCAAAATGTTATAACATTAAGGAAAACAATAACTATTTATTTATTATAGTGATGGTTTTCTTTGGTTACGTCATTGATTAATAATTATCATTTATAGTTGCATTAGAAAAAATTTCAATGTTTCTCGTTTTTGTGAAATATTTCAAAATAAAATATTTTAAATGAAATATTTCATACTTCAAACACTAATTGTAATATCAATATAAAATCCAAAATATGTTATATTTTAGTAAACTTACTGTTTGAGTTTTTTTTTTTTTTCAAATAACCCATTAGTTATAATTAATTATTGATMTTCCAAATATATGAGTATAATATTGCTCCTAATATAAGGCAATAGACATGTTATTGTTTTCATATATAATTATGAAATATTATTGGTTTCCCCATAATCTAGGTCTATGATGTATGTGAGCTATTGCGAATTGCGATTTTTAATTCAATAATCATTAAACGCCAAGTACCGTGTTCGTTATCGATTACATGGAAATTATAAATTGGATTTTTTTTTCCCAGCGATTCTATTGAACACATTAAACTTGATATAGGTAATAATAATTCTCAGTATTCATAAATTTTTATAGAACTACGATTTTATAACTATTTTTTATTCAAGGGCTAGGATTTATATGCGATGATGGTATGTTTTTTTTGCAACTTCTTATTGCTAACTTTTGTTAGTGATATCTTTGAATCAGGTCATGATGAGGTAGATAAATTGATTTTTTTTAAATTTGTCCACTTATTTTTGATAAAATGAATATTTTAGCATATTTTGAAAAAAAAAAAAAAAAATATTTTTTTTTGCATACTTTAACTTTACTATAAAATGCAAAAACTGCAARTTTTATAGTATATTTCGTTGCAGTTCATTTCATCGCTGTACAAAAATACATTAAAGTAATTTAATTAATCTTAGAAAATGCCTCGTTTAAGAGTTTGGAAGCCGTTGAAAACACTAAATTTAAACTCAGCTAAAACAAAGGATGTAAGGACCCATTGTTGAAAAAGTTRACAGTAAATTTAAAAATGTGTTAGAAATAAATCAAAATAAATTTAAAAATGCGAAAATTACGTCATATGTTATCTAATAAATATACGAATTTATAAATAGAGCACTGACTTATTCCTATGCATTTGCGTATTTATTCTGGTTGATTGTATAATATGCTAAGTGAGCATAAAATTCGTTTCATACCATAACAATTTTAAAAATGAAACGTTTTTTTTTTTTCTATTTAAAAGGCTTAGTTTCGATTAATGTCAAAATACATTAACGTGTACATACTTTTAGATATAGATGGATTTTTCAAAGATTTAAACCTTAGATTAATAATTGGTAAAATAAAATACATAACAAATATAATGAAATATCGATTATAACTATTCACTATTGACATTATTTCAGAAAAAAAAAATAGTTAAATTATTAATAGGAGGGTTCCATAATTTTAAATAATATGTTGTTTTGATTAAATGTTCAAAAAATACATTTTTTTTGCTATTTTTTATGCGCATTTTTGTATTTTCCATGCATGTTTCAAAGTTCTTATGCATATTTAAGATTTTTTACCGCATATTTGATTGGTTTAATGAATATCACGCTCTATTTATTAAAATCAAACACAAAGTCGTTGACTTGTGAAAATTGATAACACCAAGTAATTCATTTGAATAGAAGTTAGAATTTTTAATATTTTAGTAATACTTACCTAAGTGTTCATTTCAACAAATATTTTTGGTGCATTTCAACATATTTATTTAAAATGGTTAATGGTTATTTAATAATATTTATGTGGTTTATTTTTGTATATTTTTAATAAAACAAGTGCATATTTCATCATTGTTTATTGCACATAAATCTTAGACCTAGCTATTTCTAATAACTGCCTTGTAACTTATTATACTTCTTATTACAATGGATAAAATATCTTTTGGATTTTGGAACCCCCCMAAAAAAACCTATACACMAAAATTTTGATTTTGGTTTCGGTTTTCAAAAAGTTTTGATCAAAAACTGGTAAATTTCGGTAATGTTCCAGTCCTTGATTTTAACTCAGAGRCAAATCAATAAAGTTTATGTAAAGTTTATATAGTTACGTCTAAAAGTATCAACCTGATTGAAATCAACCTATAACTTAATAACCAGTAGATACTATAGAGGATCAAACGAGTTGAGATGATCAAGTCAAATAAAGCTCCGAACCGGTTAAGTCGATTCGATAAGTTTTTAAAAAATTAATATTTTAACTTTTAACTCAATTACACGTCCAGTCAATGACCAGCGCGGGTTGTGTCACGTACCATGGCGTCCACGCCGAGATGGCCGACCAGATCGGCGGCCGGCTGCCATCGAAGCATGTCATAGAATCGCGTTCCCTGGAACGTGTCGCCGGCGTACAGGTGGATAACGGCGGACGGCGMGCCATCCGCGGCCACCCGGGCCCGTTCGGTATCCAGCGCGGCGCGCAACCTGGCGAAACCGCCGTAGCCGCCGGCCGCGCCGCACGAGCCGCCGTCATCCTGGTCATCGAGGCAAGTCTCGTCGTAGTGTGAGTGCACGTCGTTGGTGTGCAAGACGGTCAACCGGAACTCACCGGAAGCAGTCGCCATCGCCGTCATCGCCACCGCCGCCGCCTGAAGCAGTCCCAACGCTACGGCCGCCATCRTCGTACTGCGCAACGTTCCACCGCCGTCGGAGTGATAACGAACTCGTTGCGAGCGTTGCGCGCTTTCTACCGCGATGTTTTTTCTTCCCATTTTATGTACTGAAATTGAAACCACCTATAATCAGTCACTATATTAACTCGGTGTTTTCACTTGGAAAGGATAGAGTCTCAGCCCCCCCTCTAAAAATAGAATTTTCACATTTATGGACGTCACTCTGCGTTGTATTCGCTTGTTATAATGTTRTGCGTATTGCGTTTCCACTATAATAATTGATAATTCAAAATTCCAACACATAATAGACACCGTCACGTGTCTAGAAAAATCGGGTGTGAATTTATTTTATTTTTTATTGATCAACATTTATACAGGACAAACCCTTTAACAAAAAAATATATAATAATAAGTAATAATAATCTAAACATCAAAAAACAGAAACAAAAAAAATATATATAGGTTCAAGACTGTTTAAATTTAGAGGTACGGTACACAATACATGTCGTATTGTGAAAGGTATAATAATCAGGGCTTGATGCCTGTATAAACCTTTAAAACTCGAAACCGAAAACTAAATCAAAAACAAAACTGAAAAAAATTGAAAACCGGTATTGCAATTTAAAATCGAAACAGAAAAAAATTGTGTAACGGTATTAAATTCAAAAACAAAATCAGAAAAAATTAAAAACCATTATTATGATTCAATTTAAAATTTTGAAATTTTAAATAGCGATTTTAAGGATTCCCTAGCTGGATAACTATCTTCTCCACATCATCATGTCCATTGTGYTCACCTATTTACTTATCGTAACTTTTTTTTTATTGTACAAATTGTAAATGCGACTTATTTACTGAAACCGTAACCGTAACCGAAACCAAAATTTCCTAATACTAAAAACGGTATACAAAAAACGAAACCCGAAAAGGTTTCAAACTCTGATAATAAAAATGGTTTCAACTCGAAAATAAAGATAWAGCTTTCATTCAAATACAGTTACGAGACATGAAAACAAATCAGCATCATTACAAATTAGGTTGCATACCGTAAGCACTCATGGGGAAAAACAATCGGAACCTACCTTCCGACATAAAACAGCTAATAATTAATAAACATCATGCTCGAGACCAATGGCAAAKTACAAGGTTGCCTAGTCATAAAAAAAATTTAAATTTTTTATCAAATCTTTTGAAATATAAACTACATAACCACAAATCTGAACAATTTCAATTAWATATAAAATCTTTGCAACCTAATAACGGCTCTCTTTGGAAAGCAACCAAAATGCTCACCAGTCACAGAGACGAAATCCCACCTTCCAGACAGGAAACCGGTCAACTAGCTATTATAGCTATTACAGACAAAGACAAAGCAAATGTGTTTGCCTCTCAATTGGCCGAAACATTTCAACATCATTTGTGCACCGGTCCCGAAAACGATTCAATTATCAAAATTTAACGATTTCTAACAGCTCCCCTACCTAAGTCTATACCGGCTAAACCCACTTCTCCTGGTGAAATTCAGTTTATAATTAAAAAACTATCCCAGGCAAGGCACCTGTAAATGACCTCATTACAAATAAAATTCTGAAAAATCTGTCTCTCTAAACTATAACATTGCTCACCCACATATATAATTCTATGCTAAGATCAGCGGCGTAGATACGATTTTTTTCTGGGAGGGGTTTTAAAATATATTTATGACACAAATTACAAGTTATTAGTTAAACTAAACGTCATTTTTATTTTGTTTCAAATTGGTATTAATTCTATCAT